GATTTGAGGAGATGATAAAATCAATGGTTTCATTAAGTAGTCCAAATGGTAATGGACACTAGATATTGTTTAAGAAGCTTCTATATTTACATTTCATATTTTCTTCCCTCTCAAATCACCCACACCACTTGTTCTGATCACTTACTCCTATCATATAACCTTTCCTTTTATTTATGAAGAATGTCAGTGTGATTAGAAAGGAACTCTGAAATTCCTATTGCTCAGTCTGAGTGTGTGTCCTCTCTTCTATTCAAAGCAATGTTGAAATGTCCCTATTCTTCAGAACACTTGACCTCACCATTGTCACCATTCATAGACTTCATAAGTGAATTTATAATATCTAATTTCTTCTTTGAAGCCTTGTATGTTTTACCACCCATTCTTTGGAAACAATAGTTCAAGTAATGCAGTGATTCAAGAGACACAGAAAATTTTAAGGCAGAACAAAGAAGAACTTTCAGTATTCTAAGGCAGTCATAGAAGGTTTACAGATCATTCCCCTTTCAAGGTTGATCCTTGCATTTGTGTTTTCCAGTCTGTGAGGAATAATCCTTTTTTGTTCTCTGCCTTCCTCTCCCTCCTGCCTAAGGCTTGATGTGTTTGCTTTCTATTGCTGTCATAAGAAACAATCACACATTTAATAGCTTACAACAACAAAAATCTCATAGTTTCTGTAATTCAGAAATCTGGGGAAGAATCTGCTTTGAAGCTCACTTGGGCTGTTGGTTTAAGTCAGTGCTCTCTAGGGCTGAGGTTTCCATTCCCTTGGGAAGGATTCAGCTGTGGCTTGCCCACATTAACTCTTACACTTTCCAGTTGAGTCCTTCAAGTAATGATGGAAGAGTGCCTCTTATGCTTTGAATTTCTGAATTATCTGCCTCATTGTTGTGACTCTAGCCTTGAAAATTCTGTGCTGTTAAGGGCTTGTTATGATTTAATTAGATCCACCTGAATCATCCAAAAGGAAAAAGAACAATCCCCATCTTATGATGCATAATCTTAACAGAGTCCTCAAAGTTCCTGAAACATAGTATATTCGTAAGTTCAGAACATGGAAATGTTTGGGGAGGCATTCTGTGTGCCATATTCACCTCAATAACGTTCACTTATTCTTTAAGAGATGACAGCACTGCTAAGTGACCTGGAAACCTCCTATGACTGCCTTAGAATATTGCATGTTTTCCTTTGTTCTGCTGTAACATTTTCTCTGTGTCTCTTCATCAATGCATTGATTGAACTATTGTTTCCTTAAAAGTTCCTCAAACTAAACTATGAATTGATATACTTATTCATCTACATATACCCATGACTAATATCATGTTCATATTTATTTTTACTTGTGTTTTATACATCTTATTCCATAGATGTCGCACCTAAGGACAGTGACAGTTGAAAAGTTGTTTCTTTTTAATTTTTTTTTTGGTGGGAAAAGTTATAGAGAAAGATATCGGACAAGGAACAGTGGACACTGAATTCTGCCAAATCCCTGTGTACTGTGCAGCTTTCAGGTGGGTTCCTCACCTGGGTGCATGAGGTTGGTGTGACTATGGGAACATCTAAGAGTTAACTAAGGAGTCACTGAATCCTGTGTTGTTCTAGTTTATCTCTGAAAGGGATTCTTGAAAAGTGCCTGCATTTTCTTCTTGTTAGTCTCAGAGGAACACTGGGTACGTAAGAGGGTCTTTCTAAAGCAACTTTCTTACTGGTTTGCTTCAAGTGTAAGCCTGCACTCTTCCTTCTAGCTGTATCTGTTGGTGTTTTCCTAGAATTCAGTTGTTCATGCTACTCCAAGCATTTATTCTTATCATTCTGAACACAGAGGTCAGTGTCCATCTCATGCACTTTACTCTCAGGAGTTAATTTCTGGAACTGAAACACAATCACCAATCTCCACTGACGCTTATGGCAGCCAGTGGGCTTCCTGCTTCCCACACAGTCACTCCCTTAATCATCCCAATCATTCTGGACATGAGATTATTAACTATGGGTGAAAAATGAAACTATGGCTTCGAGGTTTTTGTTAAGACCAGTGATGGAATCTGAACTCAAACTCAGGTCTACCTTCTCAAGGCAAGTGGTTGAATCTTGATTCCACATCAGTTTTTGAACTTTATTAAGTAGCCCCTTTCACCCTTGCTGTCTCTCTACTAAGTATTTAATAAGCATTTGTGAAGAAATCAACCAGTGCTATATTCTCAATACCTCTTTAATAAAGGAACACATTTGATCTATAATCACATTCTGTGTTGGTCAGGCATGGCACACCAGTGTTTTTATCATGCTGGGGGTCAATTTTACATGTTCTAGTAAATTCAGATGCTGAAATTTATTTGTATGGCTTGAGTTTTCTTTATAGTGTTCTTTTTATCCAGACTTCCAGAGGGTTTGATCATAGGTGTAGAGTGGGCAGGACATAAACTAAATTAGATGAGAAAGATATGACTATTATTTGGCCACTAATGAGGTATATAATTGAGATATCTAGTCAGATACTTCCAATTATTCCTAAAATGAGGGTTTAGTTACAAAGTTCAGATCATTCCTGCTCATGGGACATGAAGTGCCAGTCAGGGAGGTGTGGAGCACTGCTGATGTTCTATATTCCCTGAAGTCCATGAGCACCTGAGCTGATAACTTCAGCTGCACAAGGGACTTCCTGGAAGCAGCCATATATTTCTCAGGCCAGTGAGTTGCCAGATGTAATTGTGGGCTATTAGCAGGGCATGCAGGAGCCCCAGTACTGCTCTTCCTGTCAAAGCAAGATCTCTCTCAAGTAAGTAAGTTGAAGTTTCAGAAGCTCCAAATTCAGATCAAAAGCCACCTATGCTTATTTTAGAAATCCCAAGTGGTAAGATATAGCGAATTCCCGGCACAGAATTCTCTCAGATAGGTATATTGAAGTGTTAGAAACTCCAAATTCAGGTCTTGAGAAATTCTGTTCTTAGATATCTTGAGGGCTGCAATATAGCAATCTGAAGAAAACTCTATCCCTACTTCAACTTACTTATTTGTGTAGATGCTTGCTGTCTCTCTCTCTCTCTCTCTCTCTCTCTCTCTCTCTCTCTCTCTCTCTCTC